GCCATCACAAATCCCACAACCAACACTTACCGGCCACTTTATTAGGTTCGCCTTACTAGTACAAGGTTGGACTCAATCGAAACTCAGGCAACGTTTCTCCAGTCTTCTATTGTCCAATTTTGGTGAGCATGTATGAAACTGTAGCCTCAGTCTCTTGTTCTTAGCTGACAGGAGTGGCACCCGGTGTGGTCTTCTGCTGCTGTAGCCCATTTGTCTCAAGGTTGGACTTGTTGTGTGTTCAGAGATGCTCTTCTGCAGACCTCGGTTGCATCGAGTGGTTATTGGAGATACTGCGGCCTTTCTATCAGCTGGAACCAGTCTGGCCATTCTCCTCTGACCTCTGGCATCAACAAGACATTTGTGCCCACAGAACTGCTGCTCACTGAATTTTAATTTTTTTTTTCAGACCATTCTCTCTAAATCCTATATAAGGTTGTGTAGATCCCAGTAGATCAGCAGTTTCTGAAATACTCAGACCAGCCACATTCAAAGTCACTTAAATCACCTTTCTTCCTTATTTAGATGCTCAGTTTGAACTGCAGCAGATTGTCTTAACCATGTCTACAAGTCTTAATGTATTGAGTTGCTGCAATGTGATTGGCTGATAAGAAATTTGCATTTACAAGCAGTTGGACAGGTGTACCTAATAAAGTGGCCAGTGAGTGTACAAACAACATACAAATAAGCTGGTTCACTTTTTGTATCTAATAGAGTATTTTTAGCCTGAACTCTTGCAGGGTGTTTTAATAGTCCAAAGATCATGTCAAGGGATGAAAGACATTTTGCTTTCTTAAAGTTTCTGGAACTTTCAGATTCTTGAAAAAATAAACTGCAGAATATGCAACAAGCCGCGATCCAGACACAGACAGCACATCTGCATCATGACTAGCTTTCCATTTATAGAGGCATTTTCCAAAGCCCCTCATCTCAGAAAACACAAAATTGTAGGTTGTTCTTGAAAAATTATAGCAGACGGGCTGGCAGCCATCTTTCCTCATTGCCAAGTCAATTTGTTTCTTTCTACAGTATATCCAAGTTTAATGCAAATGTGCTTCTGGATTTTAAGTTTCTACACAAATGATGAATAACTGGAAAGTTTGAGTCATTTAGTGGTTTTAAAATCTCTACATTAGCTTGTTAGTCAGTAGATTTATACTCAAGGCACTGCTGTGTACTTTATATTCAATCTATTGTTTAGTGTATTTTTAAACAATTATTTTGTTCTCAAGCCTTCATTAGGTTGGGAAAGCATGGAATTTGTTTCAAGAGTTCACACTTAATTGATGATTAATAATAAAGCTTGTTTGACATACTGTCCCTGGAGAGAACCCTGAGCTCAGAAGATCCTCGAGCCAGGGGGTCCCTCCTGTTTGCAGAGTGAGAGGAGAGTTTGAGCTCAGGTAGGTCTCAAGAACTTGCCTACTGTTTACAGCTAATGAACAAATAGGAAATGCTATGAAGAGATATTTTGCTGACTAGGAGCACATCTGTTGTGCCAATTTGGATTAGTCAAATTAATTTTAGTCGCATATCTTTGGATGGTGGGAGGAAACCGGCTGACCCGGGGGAAACCGACGTGAGCACAGGGAGAACATCTAAGCTCCACATAAAAACGTTGATTGGCCTGGTAAGGACTTGAACCAGTGACATTCTTGCTGTGAGGCCACTGGGCCACCATGCCACCCTATCACAAAAAAACAGGAGGATGAGTTGGGGTGGAAGGGGGGATTCTTCAAGACAAAGATAACTTTGGCCCTGTTTACACTACAACATTTAATGTATATTATAACACTATACTATAACAAACTGTTTTAGAACTAAAACGATCCACATCCACACTGGCGTTTCACCTAGCGTTACTGAATAGCTTGCAGTCTACACATTGCTGAAAACGCACATCATGTGACCACACACACACACACACACTAGCATGCACTGCAGCATATATGCACTTCTGAGATCAAGGCTGTCAGTGGGTGCTTTGAGCACACCTCTCCAGGTGAGAGCAGCGCACGGCTGACAGTTCATCAAGGATAAACTGCTGGATCTTAGCTCACTATATTTGTTAAGCGTGATATTTAATTAATCTGGTCTATATCTTACGACATATTCCTAGACTTTGGTCTTTTGAATCTATTCAAAATGCAGTTATCAGGCAGTTATGTTATAGGCTTCATTTTGTTATAAATATGCATACAGTGAAGATGACGGTCATATAAATATGCAGCTTCACGATGCCTCAACATTTTTGGTGTCTGTTATGTTGTTAATATCAAAATAAAAATAGGCAGTTCCTTATATTATGTTTTCATTTTATTGTTAAGAAAGTAAAACAAAGTAGCCAGAGTGATGTTATAGAGGTTATAGAATACACTGTTCCCTTTGAACATTTGCGCAACGTGTTCTTGGGCATTTGTTTTCCATATAAAACGCGAAAAGATGGTGATTGTTTACATGGACATCAGTTATTAAATTATTTGCTCAATTAATAATTTGTCGACTTTAACTGGTTTGGCACTTTCACCTTCATTCAGGAACATATTATGCATGCCCCCATGACAAATGAGATATTGGATGCGAGAATTTTTGGTACCACACACCAATTGGGAGATAGTACTGTAAAAGCCTCTGCATTTCTCGGTAACTTAGATGCACTCAGTAGGTAGTGTCAGAAAGCTGTGTGTGTATAGATTATCCTGTCACAAAATGCTGTGAAAATCTGATACAACGGTAATAGTTTGTTTAAGGTGTTAATATGTTTACACTTGGAGAGCAGCATTTAAAGTGGATCTTTCGGTCCATAATATTGCAGTGATACTAACATGCTGTAAACTTAGTAGTTCAATCATTTTGACAAAGGTACCTGTATGTCTTTAAACGCTGAAAGAGTACTGCTGACGATAGAAACTACGTAACTTTGCCATCTGAATAAACATAAACAAAGCACATTGATCACACGCTTACCAAATCTGCAGAGACGGGACAATCAACATGAACTGGAGCCACGTCTTTTTTAAAAGGAGACGAGCGGCAAATCTAGATTTCACCATTACCACATGCGAAGAGGTAATCTGGTTGTTTAGATTACCTTTCTGTTGCATGTTAGCAGGCCACTGTAATCCACACAGTCCACATCCAGTCCGGCTGCGCTCTCATAGAAGGGATTTAAAAAAAAAATAAAAATTTCGTTGCAGCACATTTATAAACACTGAAGACCCATGTCTCCAAAATTTTAATTATGGTTAGCAACATAACGTGGCGTCTCTCTGCTATCTGAACAGAGTCTTTGAAGCTATCAGGCATATTAATGAAGTTGCACCTCATTCACAATAGAGCGTGCTGAATGGTTCAAAGTCTTTCTTATAAATTAATGCTAAAAACTCGAGAACGTCACACTGTACTTGGCGGTACAGACATCCAATCTCCACGCTGAAATTTGCACAGTGATTGAATTGTTGGGATGTACCTTCAAAATTTATTTTCAAACCGGAAAAACAAATTTGCTCAAAATAACATAAAAACAACCAATTTTCACGTTTTAGAGAAATATATGTGTCCTAATAGTGTTTTTAGCAGCGTGGGACACATATATGACTGTCAACATCTCAAAAAATTTGTGTTGGTGTTTTGTGACCCTTTAAGTCAATAGATGCTGCTAAACTGTCAAGAACCGTTGCTACTGTAAATGTAAGGGGTAATAAAGAAATTGCAGCGTGATAAAGGTTATTAAATGCACAACATGGAGACAAAGAAATGGTCGGCGTAAAGCAGAGAGTGGTTTACTTTGCTAAGTGCATTTAAAATCCCACTCTTCCCATGGTGATTAATTATTTGCTATAAGTTATAGACATTAAGACCCAATCAAAAAAAATTTTTGTACCCCTACTTCTTCCCCTTGGCCCTTAAAACAGAGTGTGAAGGGGAAGGGTTTAATTTTTTACCCCCCAAAAATGGGACTGCACTAAGAAATGGGATCAAACTAAGCCTTCTTTTTAAAATAGTACATTTTTATACGACTGAAGGGCAACGCGGTGGCGGAGTGGGTAGCACGTTCGCCACACAGCAAGAAGGTCACTGGTTAGAGCCTCAGCTGGGTCAGCTGGCATTTCTGTGTGTTTGCTTGTTCTCCCCATGTTCGCGTGGGTTTCCTCAGGCCTATCCGGTTTCCCCCACTGTCCAAAGACATGTGGTACAGGTGAATTGGATATGTTGGATAAAGTTGACCACAGTGTATGAGTGTGTATGGATGCTTCACAGTGATGGGTTGCGGCATAAAAAATTTGCTGGATGGTTTGGTGGTTTGTTCCGCTGTGGCGACCTCAAATTAGTAAGAGGACTAAGGCAAAAAGAAAATGAATGAATGTACGACTGAACTTGCCCGAATTATCCACTAAACTGACAAAATGTAAAACAGTTAGTTTCCTTGTGAGATCAGGCTGGTTGAACTGTGATAAAAATTAACCTGTGCATTGAACGATTTTATTGCACACTGTCCAGCGAATCAGAATCAATAATTTCAACAAACCATAGTATAACTGCAAATAATTTACCTTGGAATGTCATGATTTTACAAATCAGAATCAGTTTTGCTGAAAGCCATGTAATAAAATTGATTTGAATAGATTTGACAAATATTATGGCATAATAATATGTTAAACGCGTTAATCTTGATGGTGTTTTTAAATGCAAGTCTCATCTTCGATGAATATTCTGAAGCGAAGTGCTGCTTGAAATATGCAGCCATTTGTCATGTCTGGAGTTTGTGATCCACAGGTCCTGTCCAGACTAGAGAAGAAGCTTTGTTTACTGGAAAACTCTGAAGAGCATTCTGGATCCACGAATTGCCAACCAACACACTCTAACTAATCGTGAATCAGGTCTTTTACTAAACGCTCACTAAACGTGTCTTTTACATATCTTTATTAGATGATTAACCTGATGAAATGCATTTAAATTAGAAGCAGCTACTCTTAAGTTCAGCAAGTACATGCCAAGAGATGTTTTTTTTTTTTTTTTTTCTGAGAAAAGTTTATTTCATTGGTCCAACTTTCATAGATCCAGCTGAAGAGAACCAAACAATATGAGCATATTTGTAGACGTGATAATCAAGACATGATATGCTTTAAACATTTTAGACAAACAGGAACATGAACATGGACAATCTGATGATAGATTACATGTAAAGAAGACATCGAGAAGACACAAGTGATATAAAAATTATATACAAAAAAAAAAAAAAAAAAACTTGCACAGCAATTGATTCTTGCCACTGGTTCCACAATGAAGTTTCAGCAAAAAAAGAAGATATTTTTGGCAACTGATAATTGAGACATTTAAAAAAACAAGAAGAGAATTCACTTGCTAAAAGATTAAAATAACTATCGTCAACATCAAAATAGTTTATGTTGTTTTCTATGTATTTCTCGTGTTTGAAGTGATTTATTTCTTGTTATAGTATTTCTTAAATGGAAATGTCATCCTAAGCTAAACATTTCATTGTGCATTGCTTGTTATTTCTGCTACGAAACTTCAAAAATATCCCCAGCTTTGTTGTCTTCTACAAAATACAGTACTGTACTTTTCAGATTTGCCATAAAGTAAATCTTTTTCTGCTTTAAAGAAATGAAATGCCGTTCATATAAAATCTCTTATAGGCAGACCTGACATGACTGAAATTGAAAAAATAAAAAGCTCAAGGTTAGATTCCTTTCTGCTTGTCAAATGGGTTCTTGGTGTTTTGTAGAAGAATTAAACATCCTCTTAGCCACGACAGCACATCACTGATATCAAAAACCCAGTCTTAAGTTTGGTGGTTCACATTCTTGTAAATGATGACATCACTGCATGATGATGTCAGGCTCGATATTAAAGAGCAGGTCGTCGTTTCCTCGTCGGACCTCCAGCAAAAGGGTCATGTCTTGGTTTAGCGCCTCCTTCAGGTCACTGGTGCTCAGCAGAGGTTCTCCGTTTAATTTGACAATAATGTCACCGTCTCTGATGCCCCCTCTGAAATATAAAATTAGAAATTGTACGATTGTTAGTTGGATCTTTATACCTTTAAAGTGTATTGTACAATCAGCTGATCAAATAGCAAGGTGATTAGGAGCACAACACTCAGAAATAAAGGGTCAAAAGCTGCCACAGTGCCAAAATGAATTATATTGTAACTTTAATGTCATATATGTAGACAAGAAGTATAAAAATGTTAAATTAGCTTGTTTTAAGGATACCACCCCAGTGACAGCTTTTGTCCCTTTATTTCTAAGAGTGAGCAGGTGTTAAGTCAAATAAATCAGTTTGTAGATATGAAATACTGATTTAATATTATTAAAAGCACTCATTTTCCCTTTTTCAAGACTTAGGATGAGTCTTTTGTGTCTCTAGAGTGTGTCTGTAAAGTTTCAGCTCAAAACACCCATCAGATTATTTGTTATATCTTTTTATACAACAGTTCTGTCTTGTTCTTGAATCTGAATGTAGTTGTTACTACATAATACATGTGCAACATACTGCCAGCTAGCATTTAGGAAGTGTTATTGCAGAGCAACACAAACAGCACACAGAAGCATATATGCACGTTTACAAGCAAGACAAATTGCAAGGCTGTGGATCAAGCTGATCACTCGATGCAGAAGTATAAACCAGCCTTCAGGCTGCCCCCGAGGAGAGACCCCAGGGGAGAAACCAGTAGTAAAGACTGATTTTTACTTCTGCGTCAAGCACACGCGTATGGTCTGATGCAGCCATCGTGTGTTCTCAGACCCTTTTGCCATGGCTGACGGCAAAGCTGACAAAAAGGCTGCCACACATCTCTCAAAAAATTTAACCACGTCGCAACGGTGAGTAGTGCAAGCTCTGTGATTGGTCAACTTGGTAGCTGTGACGAGTGTGGGCGGTGCCGTGAGCCTGATGGAGCGAGTGTTTACAAGTATCGAGTCCTGTAATGGAGCTCTAGCTGGAAACAGAACACCCATAAAGAAACTCTACGTAGAGAAACATAAAAACCTCACTGCCAGGTAGGGTTTCGGAAGTGTTATTGCAGAGCAACACAAACAGCACGCAGAAGTATAAATGCACCACTGCACGCAGGACAACTTGCAAGGCTGTGGGTCAAGCTGATCATTCGATGCAGAAGTATATACCAGCTGTAGGAGAGACCCCAGGGGAGAAACCAGGAGTGAAGGCTGATTAAAGTTCTGCGTGAAGCACACGCGTATAGTCTGACACAGCCTTTGCGCGTTCTCAGACCTATAAACCACCCTTAAACATTCTTCAGTTCCAGCTAAGGACAGCTTCTCTTACAGTAAGCAGAAGTTGACCCTGACAAAATTGGATATCAGCACAGCTCAAACGTTTCCATCGCCATTTCTTTCATTCCTTTTTTGTCGAGAGTCTATTTAAGTTTAGTGTGCTGCGAAACCAGAAGTCAACAGGACTAGTCTTTTGCTGCCTCAAACTTGAAACTCAGGACTGCCCCAAGCCTCGCAAGGACAAAAGAACCAACCACCAGCGAACCCACCTGAAACCCAGCGGAGAGATTTCTTCACATCACAAAAGGAACATAAGTAACGCCTCCAGTCTGTACTGAACTGGTGTAAATTATGTATATATATTAGGGTTATATATATATATATATAGCTTGGTTTGGTCTTACAAAATCTGAGGTTTTTCCATCATTAGACTCTCGAAAATTTTTCTTTTTCTTTCTTTACTCTACACTTGTCTGAACGTGTATTTGTGTTAGGAGTTTCTGTTGGTCAATAAAGTTTTATTTTGTATAAAGAAAGATGCCTGTGCATGTCTATGAATCTAATGTCTTAAACTTCGATCTTGCTAACTTGCTTAAACATAAAAGGGTTTTTACTATATTTCAAATAGCAATAGCCCTTACTGAAGTCCACTGTCCATTCTAATAATTGCCGGATGATTTGTTTGTTCAGATTTAAAGAGTTGATTCATTTGAAGACCCCTTTAAAATAATGTTCAATTCTCGTTGAGCTACAGTAATTCGCTAAAGATGTTGTTTACACACAATAGATTGGAGATCAAGTCTCATACATTTGAAGCTGACTTGGGCCTCTATTAATTCCTAACCCCACACTCCTGTCAGCTAAGTAAATCATAATGCCATTGATGTGGACTCACCTAAAATTTGACAGCATAATACAATAAAATGGACAATAAAATCGCATGGTCAGGGAAATTGTTGAAATAACACAGCCACAGGACTACCTCAGCATGTCTGGTCTTTTATGACCCAAGTATACCTTATTTATGATAGATACTTCTACTGTATATAATCTCTAACTGCTTTCTTGAACATGACAGTAAGTGCACTATACTAGAATGGTCTCCAGAGTCACCAGACCTGAATCCAACAGAGTACATTTGAGATAAGCAGGACCAGAAGATTTGCATTATGCATGTGCAGCTACTATGTGATGATATAATATCATTTTGGGCTAAAGTCTCTGAGGGATGTTTTCAGCACCATGAGTGCTATAACAAATTGAGACAGTTCTTAAGGCAATAGGAGTAGCAAGTTGCACCTAATAAAATGGATGACGAGACAGTTCATCCCAAAATGAAAATTTCCTCACCATTTACTGACACTCGAGTGATTCAACTGTCAGGAGTTTCTTTCTTCTGTTAGAGGACACAAAAACAAGATATTTTGAAGAACAATAAAATGCAGTGTATCTTCCTTTGTGTTTAACAGAAGAAAGATCTAAAACAGATTTGAAACAAATGGAGGATCTGTAAATGAGGAAAGAATTTTTATTTTGGTTGATCTTTAAAGGTCTTGTGATATTAAAATAAAACATTTTAGATGTTAGGTTCAGTCTGTTCGTTTTAAAGATATCTAAAACGGTGACACATTTCACATTGAGAACATTTCTAACAGAAATTATATGGAAAGTTTTCTGTTTGTTTTTTTCACGTCATCTCATACTTCTATTTCTTATCAAATATTAATCAATCAAATGCTCTCTAGTACACTTGATCTCAACCACTCTCATTGGCAGAGCTGCAAACAAAATGCTATTGGCTGTTTTTTTATAAAAGGGGAGGAGCTATTCTATGCCCCACCCTCTCATTATTTTTGAGTTGAGATTACACCAAACATAGAATAAAAATGAGTATTTTAAAGCACGATATTTTCCAGAAATAGATTGCGGCTGGAAGGGCATCCGCTGCGTAAAAATGTGCTGAATAAGTTGGTGGTTCATTCCGCTGTGGCAACCCCAGATTAATAAAGGGACTAAGCCGACAAGAAAATGAATGAATGGAATGAATTTTAAAGCACTTCACCTTTAAGAAATGCTTCACTTTGTATTGTGATATATTTAATATACCAATTGAATAAGCCTGTTTAATACAAATCTGCCATGTCTCCTTTCCAGTAGTGGTCTGTGATCTTAAATAAGTTGTCATCCTCTGAGCACAGACGGTGATAAACTGCTTTAGCTGTGAGTTCTGAAGCTCAGCCACATCTGAAGGACCACAGTGCATCTGGTTTGGCTGCTACTCACTTCTGAGCAGGCGAGTGGGGAACCACCTCATGGACGAAGATCCCACTGCTGACATCAGGGAAATCAGGATTCTGCTGCTTCAGCTCTTCCACCAGACTGAAGGAAACACACACAAAACCTCACATATACACACACTCACACACAATATCTAAACAGCCCAACACTATTCATTTACAGTATGTGTTGTTGTGTGTTAAGATAAGTTCACCTAAAAATGAAAATGTGTGTATTCACCCTTCACTTCTTACAAACCTTTATGAGTTTCTTTTTACTTAACACAAAATAAGTTATTTTAAAAATGTTGTATACAGCTTGACTTTAATAGTATGTGTTTTTTTTTTCTACTAAGGAATGTAACGGTTCCTTGTTTCTAACATTCTTCAAAGTATCTTCTTTTGTGTTCGACAGGAGCTCATAAAGGTTTGGGATCATTTGAAAGTGAGTAAATTGTCTTTTTCAAGTCTATTGTCAAGAACACTTACGCGTCTGTGATGGTAAGCATTCGGATTCCAATGAAACGCTTCTTCACAGATCTTGTCTCTGAAAGAAAATGTAAATGTGTAAACAGTTTTAACCCTTTCTCACTTTTTTATTTTTTTGCTTCTGGAGCATTTGACCTAATTTAAATCCTGCTGTCTATGATATCGGAACATTTTCATCCAATCAAATGGCAGTAAAGCTCTCCTTGTCTCTGCTATGTTGAAGAGAAGCAAGGCAGCCTTTTATTCTGAACAAAGTAGCCACAATTTCAATGTTTTATTTAGCTTTATTGATATGTTTGCCAATATTTGATTAGGAGATTACATTTAAAAAATAAGGTTTGCCTATACTAATTAAAGTAAAGAATTGATTGTAGAATTAAAAGCTTTAAATCAGGTAAATATGACATTAAAGGTTCAGGACACCCCGGAGAACTTTTCTTTTTATATTAACAGATGTGTGTGTGTTGAGCATCAGTTAAGACAATGTTAGCAGCTGTCAGCTTTAATTGTGGGGAAAACTGGATGATTTTGAGCTTTTGTCAGCTAATTTCAGCTTCCGGGTTTAAAATGATTTTTGGGGCGGGATCAAAATTGGCGACGTAGCGCAGAACTGCAAGTGCAATGATGACGCGTCAGTTTCTCATTATTATTCATAGCTGAGTTTTCTTATCCTATGAGAAGAGCCAGCTGCTTAATTATTCATGAGACCTGCCAGACCTGCCAGTGTCAAGCCCGAGCTGAGAGACACGGAAACCACAGCACAGTATTTAGCCGTTCATGAAGGCTCATATGCGTTTGTTTCCATCATCCATGGGGTTTGTTGCATGTTTTCCCCCGCGATCTTGTCAGGGCCGACCATACTGCAAAGTGTGTGCTGCTAGCATTTTTGTCAGGAATGCAGCACGAGAATTAGAGAATGGCGGACGCTGTCTTTTATCAGGAGTTCGTTCACATTCAGACACATCACTGTGCTGCTGTGTTTGCCTAAATCCTCCAGATTACCAGCAGGGCTAATGGTTAAAATAGACATGTCAGGAGACCTGCTGCACTGAGTCTGCTCGATATGGGGATTGAGGGAGAAGTCCTCATTTATAGGGTTTACATGAACACACTTATCTTTATAATGAAATAAATTGTGGTTATGTGCATATGAAATTACGAATAACAAGTGTAGCAGGGCATTAAATCACTGTTCATTTCTTTGCATTTTAACTTTGTAAACTATAAACGCATGCGTCTCCTCACGATTTGTGTCTCATTTTGTGAGCTAACTGACAACAACAGTTGTTCGCTCACGTTCTCCCCTGCTGGCTACGCCCACTCCTGCCCGATGCTCGCTTAGCTCCACGCCCATTAATCATGCATCTTTTGAAAAAATTCTGAAGTAGACTTTAACCGAAAGTGGGGGGTGTCATGGCCCTTTAAATATGAATGTCCGTTATAATGCACAGTGGGTTATAATAACGTGCAGTCTGTAAAACAAAAACCTAAAAATAAAAGTTAAACTTTTATATTTAAGGTCCATATTCAAGGTCAACACCTGTGTTTGACTTAATATTCATTGAAATGGACAAAAAAATCAATGAAAGTTTACTGAGAGAATTGACATTTTTAGTATTCTTATTTGGTCTCATTCATGGAAGACTTAACAACAGGAACAATGTATTTCAAATTTTTTCTGAAACTAAACATAATTCAGGTCAAAAGGGGTTAATCCTGCTCTTATTAGCTATTGAAAATAAAACGTCTAATGTCAGATATGATCAACTTTATAAGAATGTCAAGTGTACCTTTGTTTTGCTTTCCCAGTGAATCGTTTAAGAAGCGTGTGATTCTGTCTGAAGGAATGGCAAAGGAGATTCCTGCAGCTACTTTCAGTGTGTTGATTCCTATCACCTCTCCATCCTTACAGGACAGAAAAAATAAGTATTAGCATGTTTAAATAGTCACCTATGATGAAAATACTTTTATTCAACTCAAGTCAATGCTTTTTTTTTGTTGTTGTTTTATGCAACACAACAGACAAAAAGGGAGCAGACTTCATAGTTGAGATTATGCAGAAAATAGTGGGCATTATAGATTCAGAGGATAGAGAATATTCCTGTAATGCATATTATCAAATCACTGTAAAAAATGCTGACAAAAAGTCAAGACTACACATGTTTTTAAGTTACTTTACTTATTTTATTAAGTCAATCAGGTTTCAACCGCAAAGTTGAACTTTAGTTTTTTAATTTTTATTCTATATTTCTAATATTTATATATTTTTTTAAATAAGTTGAGATGACTAGAACATTTAATTTGATTCAACTGCAAATGAAATTACAAAATAATTATGGAATAAAAATGAAATAATTACCAAATTAACCAGTGGTCCACCTGAGTTGCCATACTGTGAAAAGAAAAGAACATTAATTAATCATACTTCAACAAATATTACCCATATCTTATCTTAATGGGGTTACATTTGCTCCAAAAGTACTGAAAATAAATATTACACTGAACAAAAAACTAAATCTAATGTGTACAGTAATTCAGTGCAAAACTCAAATACTGTAGCTAGAATCACAATTAAACTACAGAGGAACAAAACAGGCCTCAAATATAACTGAATAATAAAAGAGGGCATTCAAAAAGAAACAACTGCTACTAAAAGATTTTTAGGTTTGACTTTTTTTCTGTTTTAATGCTTGTGTCTTAATGTACACAACACCCCCTGAACTGTCTGAAAAACGAGCATGATATGAATCATATTAGCATGGTGATTGAGTGGTGACTGTCGCGTCAAAGCAAGAAGGTTGCTGGTTCGGGTCCCGTCTTGGTCAATTGGCATTTCTGTGTGGAGTTTGCATGTTCTCCCTTGTGTTAGTGTGGGTTTCCTCCGGGTGCTCCGGTTTCCCCCACAGTCCAAAGACATGCACTATAGGTGAATTGGTTTAACTAAATTGCCCGTATTGTATGTGTGTGAATGGGTGTTTCCCAGTACTGGGTTATGGCTGGAAGGGCATCCGGTGTGTAAAACACATGCTGCATAAGTTGGCAGTTCACCCCAGATTAATAAAGGGACTAAAAGAGGGCCGAAAAGAAAATAACTGAATTAATTACAATGTTGACCTATCATATACGATTAAACCAACCCTTAAAGCTACCCATCCAACCTGTCCCTAACTTTAACTGTGCCCATACCTTAATAGCAGCACAGGTGCTGTGCAATACAATATAAACACTGTAAGTACATAGTACTGTATTTTATATAAATATCTAGTAGTTATGACCACCTAATATCAACAGGAACCACAATTTTATCATAAATTACCAGTGAGCTAAACTGCAAAACACCTGCAGAAATAAATGTCAGAGGTTGTCCAGATTTCGCTAGTAAGACTCATAGCATGTGTTGTTCTGGTTGTTGTGTCTTACGTTGATGATGGCGTCAGTCTGGATGTAGTCCATGTCTGAGTCCTGGAGGCCCAGTTCTTTCCCATCTCTCTGTGCAGTGCTGACGATTCCTGTCGTCACTGTGTTCTGCAGAGCAAATGGACTGCCAATAGCCACCACAAACTCACCCGGCCGCAGGTCTGCAGAATGACCCAGCAGCAGCACAGGCAACTTTTTCTGCCAAATGGATGGAAAAAAGACAATTAGCAAACACACTTTGACTTGTGTTGCATAAATCAATGAACAAACCACCTGCATGTGACAAACTCTCTCCACTCTGTCCGCACCAGACACTTTCTTATTAAAATATGTTTATAGAATTTAGTGAAATTCAATGTGCTTCATGCAGATGAGTGGGCTTGACAAACCACCTGTAGGAGACACACTTTATTTCTCTTCATATGCACCAGATACCTTCATATAAGCACCCCATACTTCCAAGAAAACATTGCGCACTTAGTGTTCTTCACACAGGTGAGTGGGCTTGACAAACCATCTGTGTCTCTCTCTTTTCTGTATCTTAGACTTATAGCATATATATACTGCTACTCTGGGTATTTGAAGTGTTTCTTTTATCTTCACTTGTTAGTTTCATTGGGTTAAAGCATCTGCTAAATGATTAAATGTAAACTCAAAATCCAGTAGGCATGTCTGTCACCTGTGGGTTGATTTTGATGGTGGCAATGTCTGACTTCTTGTCAATGTCTTGGATTGTGGCTTCATACACGTCTCCATCACGCATCTGAACTTTGAGACGCTGATGACCCGAGACTGATGTTGTGCTGGACACCACATGGGCATTTGTCACGATTAACCCAGTTTCTGACATCACAAATCCAGAACCGCTTGACAGTGGGACCGTTCGACCAAATAGAGGGTGACTAGAGGGACAAAAATATACATAACGTAAAATAAGCTGAAATTCACATTGGTTAATTTCCCAGACTTGCATTGAACATTTAGAATAATGAGATATAGTGAAAACATGGTTTTGTTCTCTTTCATTGTAAAGAGAGAATTTATTAAGAAAATACTTTAATAACACTTTATTTTAGGGACCAGTTCTCACTACTAGTGGCTTATTATTACCTGCCGATTGTTAAGGTATTGGTTTATTTGTACTTATAAAGTACATGTTTTCTATGATCTACAATGATTCAACAACCCTAATCCTAGCCAATACCTAAAACTTAAAACTACTACCCTTAAAGCTGGGAGTACCATTTCTTAAAGGGCACCTATGATGAAAATAGGGAAACATATTAGGGTGATATGAAGACAATAAGTCTCTTTTTTTACACTTCCTGATGTTTAAATAGGATCCAAATCCCTCCCATTTTTAGGCCCACCACAACATGACATAGGAGTGCATTTTCCCCACCCACTGAATTGATTAACAGGCATATACATGTCCACAGATGATTCTTTTGCTAGTAAACTGGGATTAAAATATCTGTTATAACTCTATTTTCATAAATGTTTTTAAAACTGAGCATGTTTGTAATAAAGAGAGTAGAATACAGCATTTATGCGAGACTCATCATTTCAGAAAGGCTTGAATAAACTCCACCAGAAACACATCAAATAAACTTGGTAATGAGCTGTATTTCAGCTTCATTAGTGTCTCTCTCTGTCACTGACGGCTGCATCTCTGACGTAACACATGATGAGAAGCAGACACGCATGTCGGAGTGGTGGGCAGGGAGAAGCAGCTCATTTGCATTTAAAGCCACAGGCTACAAAAACAGCTGCACTGAACCCAGACAGCAAAATTCTGCTACATTAAAAAAATCTGATGGACCTTTTGAGCTGAAACTTTACAGACATATTCTGGAGACACCAAAGGCTTATCTTTTATTTTGTAAAAGGGGTAAAATAGGTGCCCTCTAATGGTTTGTAAAATAGCTTTTAAAATACTTAAAAATGTGACTAATAATTTCTACTTTACTGCATTTTTTTACAAAGTCATTCTTAAATGTGCTGTATATACATATATTAAAAAACATAAAAATACTTTAAAAATGCTGAGTTGTTTTTTAAGCAAATTTGGGTGGAAAAACAGGCAAACCCAACTTTACAGTTCAAACATTTATTAAAATGTATAAAAAATGTAACCCAGGTGTTAAATCTTGGTCAAATATAAAAAATACAATTTACAAATTTACAAATACAATTAAATTACTTTAAAAAAATCAAACCCAGTGTTTGGGTATGTGCAAATTTTCCCCAATTTTTAAAAAGTTTTTAAGAACAACCTACTATATTTTACAGTGTAGTATTCTATATTTAAATAGATTTACTGTAAGCAGTCTTTTATTTAATTAATATAACATGAACTGAAAGTACCATTTGCAAAATCTGATCTAGCAACAACTGAAATTTACACCAAATTCTGACACGAAAGCAGCTATCTTTTTTTCACAAAAGTTATATTACAAAAGCTTTATCACCTCAAATATTCAAGCTTCTGTAAATAAACAATCACAAAAACATAGAATTTTGACCCTTGATCAGTTCGATTGGTCATTTTTATTTTTTTTGCCAATATCCAGAAATATTGTGTGAATCTAAATTATCAATTTTTTCCTCTTTTAAACCAAACGTCATTATAATATATATATATATATATATATATATATATATATATATATATATATATATATATATATATA